GCTGCCCCCAGTACAGAGGAGCAGGTGCCGTTGCTTTTGGCCAGGAGTCTCCATGTGGATTTTGTAGTTTCATGTTCCAACCTCCAGGCAGAGAAAGGCTCTGGATCAATTCAATCGGCGCCCTCACGACGGCGTCTAACCTTGCACCGCTGGACAGCACCTGCATTGATTTTGCATCCCCAGCCTCAGTCGCAACGATGCTTGCGGCGGGGCCGACCATCCAGCAGCAGGTTTCCTTTCGTCCGAAGATGCATAGTTCAAGCACTCTGCTGATCTCTGCTGAAAACTGTCGCTGGATGACTTTGACACGCCCCGAAACAGCAATGCAAAAAACCGGGCCTGAGATAGCATGATGGACAACAGTTTGCACGATTCCTTAGCATGCCTAGAGTCTAGAGTCTCCAGAGAGCCTGCCGGGCCATGTGTTGAATCTTATGTTATGCGCAGGGGGCTGAGATAGACGTTTTGCTAGATACTGCTTGTTTTCGCAGGGAAGGGTTAGGTCTTGAATGGACGGCCGCAGCTTCTTTTCTTTCCAGCACTTGGATTGCAAAGCTCCGCATTTCCTCGCTTGCTCGGTCATTATGGGTTGCCAGAACAGCAAGGTGACGGCACCGGTGGCAGCAGAGAAGGCACCCATCACCGTGACAGAGGCGAACGCCGAGTCCAAGGCTTCCACCGAAGCGCCCGTCGAGGCTGTGCCCTCCCAGGAAGTCTCGCCGTCCCAGGAGGAGAGCAAGGCAGAGCCGAAGGATTCTGCGGTCCCTGAGCCAGCCGAGGCCTCGCAAACTGTGGAGGAGACCAAGGAGGAGCCCAAGATGGAAGCTGCGGTGGAGGCTGTGGCAGCCGCCGTGGAAGAGGCGAAGCAGGAGATTCAGGTGGAAGCCAAGCAAGAGCTGCCCAAGGAGGAGGAAGTGAAGGAGGCAGTGGCGGACTTTTCGAAAGACGTGCAGGAGCAGTTGAAGGACCTGAAGGCAGAGGTCGTCGATGCCCCGACGGTCCTGGACACGGCAATGTTTGGCGAGTCCAAGACGCCGACCTGCAATCTCTTCGGCTGGTGTGCGTGAGAAGTGCATGAGTACAGACATGTTTTGCGGACGGCAATGAGCATCTCGACCTCGCAGTCAAAAAGTTGAGAGGCGAGGGTGGTGCATCGCTGCCCCCAGTACAGAGGAGCAGGTGCCGTTGCTTTTGGCCAGGAGTCTCCATGTGGATTTTGTAGTTTCATGTTCCAACCTCCAGGCAGAGAAAGGCTCTGGATAAATTCAATCGGCGCCCTCACGACGGCGTCTAACCTTGCACCGCTGGACAGCACCTGCATTGATTTTGCATCCCCAGCCTCAGTCGCAACGATGCTTGCGGCGGGGCCGACCATCCAGCAGCAGGTTTCCTTTCGTCCGAAGATGCATAGTTCAAGCACTCTGCTGATCTCTGCTGAAAACTGTCGCTGGATGACTTTGACACGCCCCGAAACAGCAGTGCAAAAAACCGGGCCTGAGATAGCATGATGGACAACAGTTTGCACGATTCCTTAGCATGCCTAGAGTCTAGAGTCTCCAGAGAGTCTGCCGGGCCATGTGTTGAATCTTATGTTATGCGCAGGGGGCTGAGATAGACGTTTTGCTAGATACTGCTTGTTTTCGCAGGGAAGGGTTAGGTCTTGAATGGACGGCTGCAGCTTCTTTTCTTTCCAGCACTTGGATTGCAAAGCTCCGCATTTCCTCGCTTGCTCGGTCATTATGGGTTGCCAGAACAGCAAGGTGACGGCACCGGTGGCAGCAGAGAAGGCACCCATCACCGTGACAGAGGCGAACGCCGAGTCCAAGGCTTCCACCGAAGCGCCCGTCGAGGCTGTGCCCTCCCAGGAAGTCTCGCCGTCCCAGGAGGAGAGCAAGGCAGAGCCGAAGGATTCTGCGGTCCCTGAGCCAGCCGAGGCCTCGCAAACTGTGGAGGAGACCAAGGAGGAGCCCAAGATGGAAGCTGCGGTGGAGGCTGTGGCAGCCGCCGTGGAAGAGGCGAAGCAGGAGATTCAGGTGGAAGCCAAGCAAGAGCTGCCCAAGGAGGAGGAAGTGAAGGAGACCGTGGCGGACTTTTCGAAAGACGTGCAGGAGCAGTTGAAGGACCTGAAGGCAGAGGTCGTCGATGCCCCGACGGTCCTGGACACGGCAATGTTTGGCGAGTCCAAGACGCCGACCTGCAATCTCTTCGGCTGGTGTGCGTGAGAAGTGCATGAGTACAGACATGTTTTGCGGACGGCAATGAGCATCTCAACCTCGCAGTCAAAAAGTTGAGAGGCGAGGGTGGTGCATCGCTGCCCCCAGTACAGAGGAGCAGGTGCCGTTGCTTTTGGCCAGGAGTCTCCATGTGGATTTTGTAGTTTCATGTTCCAACCTCCAGGCAGAGAAAGGCTCTGGATAAATTCGTACGGCGCCCTCACGATGGCGTCAAACCTTGCACCACTGGACAGCACCTGCATTGATTTTGCATCACCAGCCTCAGTCGCAACGATGCTTGCGGCGGGGCCGACCATCCAGCAGCATGTTTCCTTTGTTTGAAGATGCATCGTTGAATCACTCTGCTGAAACTGTCGCTGGATGAAGTTGACACGTCCCGAAGCAATGCCAGAAAACATTCCCTGAAATGCGGGACTATGCGAGTAGCGTTGACATTGCAATAAGAGTCGGCAGCAACGCAGGCAATGCAAGAGGTTTCTTACTCCAGCTTGAGCAGCCATGCTGAGAGATCGAGGCCAAATCGTGTGCAAAGAGTGCATTGCCTTGAACAGGACTCTCGAGCAGCTTTCGTCCTGAAGATCAGGGCCGCTTGCCTGGTTGAGGGGTTTGGAAATAACATCGGGTTTTGGAGGGTTAGGGTTTGCGATGGGCACTTTTGGGTTATGGCGTTTTTTCATTGGTGGCACAGGGCTTTAGAGTTTTCAACGTGTGTGCCCGAAACACAGGAGGTCCTCGCGCCTCACCTGGGGGTGAAGGCGCCGGGGGCCCTGGCGACACGCTTGCGGGAGAGCCGACCCCCGAAGGCCCTGACCGAAGGGCATTTCCATTAAAAAGTTTGGAGTTTCAGACAGTCCCTTACTCTAGTACAGATGATCCGTACGAGCATTCAGGTATGGTTTTCTTCTGAAAGTCCCATCTGTGAGTGTGTCAAGAGTCGGGGCTCAGTGGGGCCTGCGTGGGGTTTTGCTGTGCGGTGCTGTACACCGGGATCACAGGTAGTAACTGCGTGCGTAGGTTTTGGCAGCCTCTGCTGCACCAGGGTTTGCAATGTGTGGGACATCTTCCGGGAGATTACGCCATTTATATTTATATTTCATACACAATGGCTCAGCAGGATGGACTTTGGACCAGGCCCTAGCAAAGCTCAACTCACAGCCTTTCAATTCCTGGGAGGCGACGCCGGTGACCAAACCTCGCTCGGCAGAGGCTTCTGCTTCGGCGGCTGCCCCGCCGCTGACGTCGAAGAAGAAACCAAGGGGAAGGGCGAAGTAGGGCTTGGCTCCAGGGTTTAGGCTAGCCCATGCTAGGGCTTTGAGGGTGCAAACGGTTGTCTTATCGTGCCCATGCAGACCTTTCTACCACTTTTCCGGGTATTCCGAAGGCCCTGAAGCGACAAGCCATGCATTGCTCCTGGCCAAAGCCTCCTTGGCTCAGAGCCGAGCCCGAGCCCGATGTACAGTATACAGAGAGCCGGGCCTTCAGAAGCGACACTTCCGCCGCGCGGGAACCAAAGGAGCGCCTTTTAGTCGAGGCTTGCGGCTTATGGTGTTGGGGTGTAGGTTTCGAGCTTTTCGGGCCCCGTTTTTTTTTCGGGCTTCTTGTGGGGTCTTTGGGAAGCCATGAAGGCGTGAAGGGTGTGAGGCCGTTTCGGGTTTCAGGGCAAGGCCCGTATCGGGCATATCATTTGTATTCAAGGTGGCGGCGGCGAAGAGGAAGCAGCAGTATGGGAAGTGGTGTTATTAGTACAAGAGAGCTACATGCGTACCAGGGCGCCGGAACCATGAGGACATGTTTTTGGGCTTTCAGGCTTTGGTGAGGCTGGCGATGGATGGGGAAGCCCTCTTTGCTGTGGGCCCTAGACCCTCAACCTTAGAGACAAGGCCAACATACTTAAAACCGCTGCAATCGCAGATAATCGTGGTTTTGGTGATTCAGTTTTCCAAGGACCTCGAGGATCTTCGCCTCAGCTGCAGCCTCAGCGGTGAGCGTGCAGGGATGCAGGGACCGAAGGCAAGATCTCCCTCTTATAGGGCCTTTTCGGACTTTGGGGACAGTGGGTAAATTCCATTCCCAGCGTTGCAGAAGTAGTGGCTGCAGAATTGAAAATGCAGTAGTGCTCGTGCTAAGTACTTGTGACTGGGTTTCACGTCGAATGAATGCATAGGCCACAGCCCGTTCGTTGTAGGGAAGACAGCACATACTCGCTACAGTTGCTTGCCTGATCGTTGACTGCCTGTGGTTAGTAGTTGGAATGTGCCAGCGTCACGGGAGCCCCACGCATCGACGCCTGCGAAAGAAACCGAAGCCACTACCTGTCGTTTGTATTGTTGCCAGATCCCTGCATATGGGTTCTCCTGCACATATGGGTCGGCCGTATTCAAAGATAGGTCTCACCTCCAGCTTGTCCGAGAGTGAGCGCCGAAGCCCTGAAAGCCTTAAACCCTGAAGGAAACAGTCATAAAAGAGCCTTAAGCCGGAGCCGCCGACCGCCTTTTCTTAGGGCTCGGCAGGATTTCGAGGCAGGGTGGTCGGTGTAGGGCCGAGGACTTGGGGGCTCCAGCCCCTGCAGAGCCCCATCAGCACGATTGCCGAAGCTTTGACATAGAGCCCTTATAGATGCCTCACGGAACCCGTGCAGAAGCCCTCAACCCGGTAACTCTGAGCTTTTCAGGTTTTGAGCTGTGCATGAGGACTTGGAACTAGAAAGTCATTGAACCAAGGCACGTTACGTTGGTGAGTAAAGTGGTTGGATTGCATCTGCGAGCCATGCTGGTGTGTTGCTACAACCCCTCGGACCTCTCGGGCGTCGAGATCCAGGACTGATGCCTCGGTACATGGGGTCTTCTGGGGCCTTAGCTTTTGCATACATTTGGGAGCAGGGCCTTACCAGGGTGCGAACCGGAAGCAGAGATGAATCGTGTGCCTTGTCATTTGTTCAAGATTCTGACGAAACAGTCTCCTGAAGTTTAACAGCGAGAGAAAAGAGAGACGTAGAGCGAGAGGGAGAGAGAGAGACAGAGAGAGTGGGGGTAGCAGCCAGGAGAATGGCGGGTGTGCGCGCGCGCACAGGGGACGGAGGGATCGGCCGGGATGCTGCCGTGAACCCCAAGCCCGGAAGAGAGAGAGAGAGAGAGAGAGAGCGAGACAAAGGCCTCAGCGGCTGCCTGCAGTGAGGGTTGTACTATGTTTCGCTAGTGCTAGGTGCTTCAGCGGTGAGCAGGCTTGGACAAGCTGTTTTCATTCTGCTTGTGTTTCTTAATGGGGGCGGGGCTGACATGTCCCCTTGAGGGGAGGGGTAGAGGCAGCTCCCTAGCTTTTGCATCTGCGGAAAGAAAGAGAAAAGCAGCAACGAGAGCGAGAGAGGAAGGGAAGGATTAAGGGACAGGGGGAGGGATTGTGGGAGCAGAGGAAGTGAGAGAGCGAGAAGGAGGGACAAGTGGTTTTGTGGTGTGAACATCACTACAAAATCACTACATACTGTGAGTGAGAAAGTCATCCAGCTGTGGGCTATGGGATGATGCCGGTGGCATCTGACCGGTGTCGAAACGGATGTGTTCGCACGTCTGAGGGGGTGCCTGAATCGACGCTGAAGAAGACTGGACGGAGAAGAAGACGACACATATGCCCTAGGCAGAAAAAGGCCCGAGGAGTGAACGACATTGTAAGAGCCTGCAAAGATCGCAGGAAGAGACAAGAGGGTAAGCACGAAGTGACCTTACCCATATCCAAAGCCCTGCGCATCTTGCAGGCCTACAGCCAGATAGAGTTGAGCGATGAGGCATCGCTGGAGGTTTGAGCTTGCTGATAGAACCCGAAGGTTGTCGCGAGTTACACCAGCATAACCACAGATCTTGAGATCCCAAACATTACCTACACTGGTTCTATGCCGTAAAGCCAGGCTGGTCCAATCGAATCATGGGAGCCTGATGCCCGATCCGCCCGATCCCTCAAAGACAACACAGGTGTCCGTTTGTTTTCCGAAGCCACACATGGGCGCATTGTGGTTGCAGCTGTAGCCTTGTTCTTGAGTCTTCGGTCCGTCTCAGGATTTGTTCGCCTTGCCCTTGCCATGGTCGTCAGACATGTGTGTTCCATTGCCATTCTCGCTTTTGCCATGCTTACTGCTTACTCTTCTGACCACCGCCACCGCCACATGTACCATGCTTCATGTTCAGATCCGAAACCCTTTAGGCGAAGAGGAAAGGGGACGCCGTCGTGGAGACCACGGACGGGACTTTCATCCAAGCTTTCTTTTGACGCGGGATTTGGATAGCGAGTGCAGGCCAGCCAGGCTGTAGTACAGATGACTACGAGGATGGGCAATGGTAGCTACTTGCCGAAGAAGCCATTTCCGAGAGCGAACAAGTTGGCCTTTGGACTGGATCTGCCGGTGTTGCCAGGCCCAGACATGAAGCACATGTTTCCGGGACAGTTGGGGACCATATGCCCCCCCCCTCTCCGAGCCCTCCGAACATCGAGACTCGAGGCCTCCTCCGCCCCATCTGAGACCTCTTCAAGTGCCAATAAGATCCATCACCTCAAATCCTCAATGCGCGGAGCAGAGCCGACAAGTAGCGAAGTTACATGTTTCGAACGGCAGGGCCTCTGTCGTGAGTCTTAGGATCTTATTCATGTTGTGCCCTTGGGAGTTTGCAGGGCACGATAGAGTATACAGTATATAGAGAGGTAGGTCAGTTGTTCGGTTTCAACTCCAGAATGCAAGCAGCCAAACCTTCACCAGTCACCCCTATGCTCGAAACTTCGAGCACAAGAACGTATGAGAACCCACAACTGAAAAGCCCCAGGCCTCAAACTCTCACCACTAAGACCCTGAACCCGGAGCCCTCAACTCTTTCCTCCCCATCCTCGCAACCCCTTGTTGGGAACTTCGCCGTGCCATGGCGGCAACACCCGCCGGAGAGGTCGCGGAGGTGCAGTGTTGAAAGGGTAAGGGTCAGGCTTAGGACTCGGGGTTTGCGGCCTACGGCTTTGGGATTCAGGGCATACGGACTGCTTAGGAGCAATTGTTCAACCCGCAAAACCGCTAAAGCCCAAACCCAAAGGCCGGCACCCTACGAAGACCCTCAGCATCTGCCAGCATGGCGATGTTAACAAAACCAACCCTAAACCTCCCACCGAGCGTGAGCGCCGAGACCACCCGATATGCTCCCTGCATCGCCGCCAAAGATGCCCTAAGAGTAAACCTCGACAACTCGTAAGCTCAAAATTACGTCCAGAAGCCCTGTAGCCAGTCTAGTCCCCTCAAAATCCCGAGCCCCACTATTCCTAATTTTTTGTGGTAATTATTAGTCTTATTACTATTAGCATTATTGTTCTTGCCGTGCTAGGTGGGTGACAAAAAAATGTTATTCTTGTTATAATTTCCTATTCTTCTTAAAGCCCTTCGAATCCTCAAGCCGCGGAGGCCATCCGCCGTGCGCTGCGGCCCAAAGCATCGGCCTTTGAGCGGTTGGGCCGCGCGGCTGAGCTAGGAAGTTGTTGGGCTCAGTAACAGGATGATAGGAGGCCAAATGGGGTTTTAGCCTATGGGGGTTTAGTAGGGATTAGGGTTCCCATAATAGGGTTCATATTAAGGAATCCCTACCCCAAGAATCTTAAACCCCCCATTTGGCTTCCCATCAAACAGGATTCCTGAGGAGGATCATTGTAGGGTGCCACTAATAGGTTTAGGATGCAGCCGGCAAAGTCCGATTTCAAAGCGGGAGTATGGAGGAAGAGGGTTCCTTAAGTTGGTTTAGGGTTTAGAGTCTAACATGCAAAAGAGTCTAAAATGGTTGAGAGTATTCCAGCTTAGTGGCACACACCCAAAGCCTGTGAGTAGTAGGGTTCGTTCCTTTGAGGGCTCTGTATACAAGGGTTCTACACACAGGATCTCATAGGGGTTTTGTTGGGTATTGCAGGGTTGTAATGCAGGGACCAGACTCCGGAAATAAAGCAGTTTAGCAGACAACCATAAAAACTCAAACATAAGAACAGGAATCACAAAATGCACCAGTACGTCTTCTGCCAAATGGGGAGGTTGGGTTTGGCAGGAGAATTTTCTCCAGGAAAACAAAGCGCAACGCCAAACGACCAACGAAGCTAATTGGCCAAAAACCTAGCTCGCGAACACAGTCCTAGAGAGGTAAGTGGCCACACAGCCCCAGGCGGAGGAGGCAAATCCCGACAACGGGTAACCCTAGTCAAATATGGGAGTTTCCGAAAATTGGGGGACACTAATATAGCCCCCTATATAGTAGGATCCTTATTATAAGAACCCCAGAATAAGGTACCCCTAATTGTCGGACAGGGCCCCTTTTCTTAAGGTATCCCCAATCGAAAGGACTCACATGACCCCCGTAGAGCTGACAGTCTTGACTGAGCAGGCCTCCCGGCTGCGGTCTGTGAGGTGCCTTGGTTTTTTTAGAGGTTTGGGGGATTTACAGGGGTGCGGTGTTAGTTTAGGGTGGCCGGTGATTCGGGGTGGTTTAGGGGTTTGGCAAGTGTTTGGCGTCTGGGGCCGGTGGGTGCTTAGGGCGTTTTGGGGATCTGGTTGGTCGAGCTCCGCCTTGAAAGTTACTCCCCCCAGCTTCCTAAGTAGCTTCTTGCATGCAATAGGCGAACTTGGAATGCACGAGCTGGAAGCTGTGTTTCAGGCGGTTGTCGTCCGCAGAGCCTACCGCACAGCCGCGCTGCTCATTCACCCTGTGGCTCTGCTAAATTCGAATCCTCAGCCAACATATGATTTAGCAGGGAGGCAACAAGGAATATGATGTCATGCCATTGCTGGAAGATTGTTTGAGTCTGCAGAGTTAGCAGATCCCGGATTGTGTGCCAACGCCCTTGACCACCTCATTAGGATGTGCTTCAGCAAAGGACAAGTGCACACACCCAGATGCAAAGCTGGCCTTTCAAAGGCTCTCTGAGGCCGTGCGTCATGTGGCTGAGCCAAAGACACGGTTTCGAGCATTGTTAGCGTCATCATTGGTCGGTCCTGTTTGACCAGTGCGCGCATGATCATCGTAAGTCTTATCATGCTTCGCTTTCAGTGACTTCAGCTGGAGTTGGCATCGCCGCGCAGCCCAGAAGCGACAGAGAATGCCCAACTACGAACGCGAACCCACGCACGGCTTTTTGAGCTTGTGCATGTTCTGATGAGTTGGCACTTGCGTCTGCGTCGTACATGCCACATGCCTTCGGTTTCTTCCTCTGGGTCATACAAGATGATCGATTCATTGATGTTGGGATGTCCTACTTCGAGTTGTGCAAAGCACGCTGTGTTCCCATTCGCCCCGGCAGACAGACACGAATGCCTCGGAGGCCTTCGACTCTCTCAGCGGGCCAGATGGACAGCAAGAGCAGCTGGACCGATTCTGCGGTTTTTTAAGGCTCCAGGCAGGACAGGCCCCCACTCCCTCGCATCCCGTCTGAACCTACTCCCACCATGACAGGTTCTCATCGCTTACGCGGGAGGCAAAGCTTCCTAGAAGGCAGTCTGAAGTTTAGCACCTCCTCCATCAACGCCAATTCCTGCATTTGCTGCCGTCACCCTCGCTGCAATTCATCCCAGTGCGTGTTCCGTTTTAACTGAGCCGCAAGCTGCCGGGAGCCACATGTATAGAGTATAGTTAAGATGTACAATGCTGGGCAATGCATCACCAACAAGCAGTACAAATATCCATTTTTCGAAATTTGTATGTATAAGTGTGAGCCTGACCGCGACCTTTGCAGGACCGGTCCCGGTCACGAGGGGGCCGAAGAGACTGGCCAGGCACAAGAAGTTTCTTGATGGAAGGGCTGTGATGGTTCTATAAGAAGTTTTCAGGCTTCCGGGACCACTTGAAGATTCGTGGGCACACTGAGATTTCGGGAGGTTCGAGGGGGTTTGGTCAGAAGGGTCATTCATCGCTCCCAGGCCATCCCAGGCCCAGCTAGGGGCAGACCTCTCCAAGCCCCAAGGCAAGGCAAGTTCTGAACCTAAAACCCCGCAGCCATGATGCCTTGGAAAGCTTTCAATCCCACGTCTTGTCAACCCCCAAACCCAGCAACGTACATGCCTCCTGGGTTGTGAGTAGCGCGGTTGCTTCGGGGCCTCGCCTGGTCATGGAAAGGGTCTCTGGGCCTGCATGGTCGAACTCCAGCCCAGCAGAGACCTCTGAACGAGTTACCACGCATACTCCGCATTGAGGCCACGTGTTGTAAGTGCAATTCATGGACTCATCCTTTATCAAGGGCTACAGTAGTAGCCACTGGCTACTCCCCCAAACCAGGGCCTCCCTACCAGCGTGGTGGGGGCTACGACCGTTCAGACAAGCCTGCCCCTCCAGGCTCAGCCTTGGAAGAGCTTTTTGTGGGCTTTTAGGGTTTCGGTGGGTTTCGGTTCATGGAGGGGAATCCCCAGCACCGGCGGGTTTAGCTTGGCGCATCGCAGTTCTTGCTCAGATAGGGTTTAAGGAAACTAAGACAACTAAGAGGCTCCCCCCAAAAGAGAAGGGTTTAATGTTCAGGCGATTGCACAAATCCTCATGCAAAAAGGGGGCTTAGGGTTTAGGCCGTTTAAGCCTCTAGGGCTTACGATGAGGCGGGCAATGGAGAGAGACCTCGTTCAGAAAGGTGCTTATAATGTTCAGCGATACATGTAGCACAAAGACGGGGTGGAGCCCCCGAAGCGACTGGAAACCGAAACAACATGCATCCCAAGAGACCTTTCGGGGGAGTGCGCAAGTCGAAACCCCTGAGCCATGGAGCACTAAGGTTTTAAACGTTTACACTCCCCCAAACTCGAGCCGTGGCCGTGGCCCCGTGGCCGTGGCAGGTTGCTGGGCCGAACCCTTCGGAGAGCAGCGCTGCGGGCGTGAGCTCCCTGACCTCCTTTGCACGGTTCTTCTTGGCTTTTTGGGGCTCGTCGGGTTTGTAGAGATTTTGTTGTTTGTGAGGTTTGGTTTTGAAATGTTTGTGCTTCGGGGTTTGAGAACCCAGTGGATTCAGGGCCTGAAGCTAACCCGAAAATCCCAGCAAGCTAACTACCTGAGAAGTGCGGTGCTACCCTTATCCCATTTTTGGGGAAGGTACCTTTCTCAAGCTACTATATTGGCATTTTAAAGTTTAGCTTTCCTGTACAGTAAAACCTAAAACCCCAGACCCTAAACCCTAAGCCCCAAACCCTAAACAAAGGCACGTGGATTTGCATAGTCAGAATTCGGAGTCGCTTCGATTAGTCAGTTCAG